TCTTGACCTCGTGATCCACCCGCCTCGGCCTCCCAAAGTGCTGGGATTATAGGCGTGAGCCACTGCGCCCGGCCATAACAAAATTTCAAATTGGTTTACAAAAAAGCATAAGGAGTTGGGGAATTTTTTTTTAAAAAAAGGCCAACACTACCCATCATGAATTTCTCTAGCCAGCAGGCTCTTAACGTGTTCTGACTGATTACACCAAAGTCGGGGGGACACTCGAGGCATATAGTCCTTTTGGTGAAGGTGGCGCTGAGCCTCCTGGAATGGAGTTGATTGATTGTGACTGTCATTGGTCTAGATGGTGACACATGCTGTCAGATCACAGCCACCTTCTCAGCTGCTCGCCTACTTGCCTTTGTCAGTGGCTAGAGGTAGAAGATGATAGAGCCTTCAAGCTCAGTGGGCAAGCTCAGTAAAAAGCCAACGAACCACTTGCATAAGAAGAACACCAAACATTCCCATCTTTACAGGCTGCACTCCTGTTTGCCGACCCTGGCACCATGCTATTTTTTTAAGGTGGTAAGAGGCCTGCAAGGAAAAGGAAGCATTGCAAGTCATCTAAATCTGACTCTGCAGCTATTCTCCAAAGGACAGTTTCAACGTTTTGGGCTGAGTGGGAGGGAAAAAAGATCACACATCACCTACAAACAGAGGTACCACTCATATCAGACACATTTATAGTCACAGAAGTCAATGATGCATAGATAGGAGGATATATGCCTCACCATAAAGTTCTAAATATAATCTACACTCTACCCAAGGATACTACTTTAATCTTTGTTAACCATAAAATAGATGAAGCAAAGGTGAGTGCTGGCGAGACATGCACAAATCCTCAAGTCAAGCTGAGTATTATGAGAGCCTAAGGTGGGTGTTTTCCCCCTGAAAGTACAACTTTTACCTGTTGAGTATAACGATCTATTTTGGCTTGTGCCTCAGGAGAGAGTTCAATATCTTTGGCTCCATAGACAGCCTGGGCAATGGTTCTTATCTTTTCCACAATTGGAAGCTGGAGAAACACAAATGATAAGAAAATTGTGTAAGTTTAATCATGGTTAAAGATTTTTTTTAAAGTTTAAAGAGACTTTCTGTAATTGCTTAAAATTCCCTATCAGGATACCCCTGCAGCGACTGCAGAATTCCTAGCACACCCTCTTTTTTCCTTTTATCACCCTTAAAGCACTGAAATTGTCAGTGTCAGAAATAGATCAGATGTCAACTAGCAAACAAGCTTTAGGTATTCAGGCAATTTAGAGGCTGCTTATCTAGTTGTAACCATTTTTATCCATTGCAGCATTTTAAAAAATGTAGTTTACTATAATCTTTCTTTCTTTTTTTTTTTCTTTTGAGACAGAGTATCACTCTGTCGCCTAGGCTGGAGTGTAGTGGCATGATCTCAGCTCACTGCAGCCTCATCCCCTCAGGCTCAAGTGATCCTCCCATCACAGCCTCCTGAGTAGCTGCG